GTGGGTCTTTGCCCTTCCCTCTCTCTATTCGCCACAAATATCCTGCATTCAGCAAAGGATGCTCCTGCCTGACAGCATCACTGCCTTCTAGAGTTTAGACTTCGAAAAAGGAAAGGCCACCAGATGAGTTTCTTGTTTTTGTGGCTTTTGGCCTGAGGACAGGTCATAGTCTGTGCTGTGCAGGATGGCGATAGCTCCTGTAGAAAACCTGGAGGTGAGAATCAGGAGACAGAATTTGGGACAATCAAAGCCTTGGAAAGAGGTGGGAGAAGGTCCTTGAAAGAAGACAGCCAGAGGGGGCAGTTCCAAATTCCAAAGAAAATCTCTGCCATATTGGACTTCCATCCACGAATATTTATATAGTGAATACTTCATCTCATTTTGGTTTGGGATTCTTCTTGCTAGTCAATAATGCCACAGAATATGTAACTGTTGTCTTGCCCTGGAAGCCAGACAGACGAGAAAGTTGCCTAAGATGTTTGCCTCAACTGGTTTTGGATGGATCCCAAACACAATGTTCCTCTCCAGCCCTGAGAATCGCCGGACACTGTCCAATACGATATGGTCACTGAACATGTCACAGGCATCACAGACCTGCACTATCCTTTTCTTCCTCATTGCTTTCAAGAGCTCGCACTTGTAATAATTCACATCCCTGGCCGTGCTGACAAGCACAGCAACATCGTTGGGAGAATAGCCATTTGCAAAGAGGATCGAGCAGGTATCTGCCACATAGGTCACCATTTGCTTTACAGTGAGCTCTTTCATAATTTTTAAGGTTCCTTGAACACCCTGAGCCCATTCAATTTCACAAAACATATCCAGGGATCCAGGTGGGATGTTATATGGAGGATTTTGTCTCACCACCTGCATTTCTTCCTGTAGGTATTTTGCTATTGGATTTGCATTGCGAATGACTCTGGTGAGCTCTTCTCTTGGATACTGGGCTGAGAGTTGGGGGAGGCCACTCTTATCCATGTGGCTAGTCTGGAAGTAGTCCAGAAAAATCCAGAGAATTCCTGGACAATCCTTTTTCCTATTAGTGATTATTTTTGCCTTCTCATACCAGTCCCCATTTTCAAGGCGAAAATTCTGAGCTTCATCAATAATAATGTGTTCAGTGTTTTCAAAGTACTTGCTCATGAAGGTTTTTCGAGTCACTGCCTGACAGATATTTTTCTTACTGTAAAAATAAAAACAACATACTCAGGTTTTCTCCAATTAAAACAAAGGAATTAAATCAACCTATTATATCGCTCTGTGGGAGCTCTGGTAGC